TAAATATTCTTTAAATATTTTTCATTATCAAAACTTATACTATTAGACTGCTGACCACATATGGAGCTGTCCACGTTCCAATGTGAATTTACCTTAATTGCTATCTGCATAGGTAGTTTTCATTTTATTATATTTGAGACTCATCTATATATTTCTTCAGGCTTTTCTCAGTTCCACTGCTATTGTAAAGAACAGGTAAGGAGGGAAGAGAGCAACAATCATAGTTCTCTCCATCTCTACCAACACCTTGGATCTATCTTCACCAGCTCCCCATTCTCCCATATTTCTCTGGCTACTTCTAGGGACATTCTCTTCATTACTCTTCTGGACCTGGGTTGATTATATTTCCTGGTTGAGATAAGTTTGGACATTTTCAAAATAGAGGACAAATTTGTTGTTAAACGTCAATGAGAAGTTTACTTCTACAGATTTCCTTATGTGAGGCTTAGTTTCTAAAATCTTATGTCAAGACACTCAGGCTTCTTGCAAGGGTTACTGTGCTATCTCCTTCCCTAGAAGGTGAGTGGCTTCATTTTTTTGCTCTGATTGTCAAGATGCTCAAAGCCAAATGTTGCATTCAGTTGTAACAATGTTTAATTTATTCTGGTTTTCTCTATTTCAATTCTCCCTCTCCTGTAGTTCCCTTTTTAAAATCTACTTTCTGAAAGCTTATGGTATGTCATCTCAAATCTGTTCAGAGAAGAAGTGGGCCATAAGTACCTGCTCATTAATGAATTCCTATTAGCTGAATAGAGGAGCACTTTGACTTACCGGGGATAAGTTTTCAGGTGTCAGTTCCTGTCTTCCTGTATGAATCAGTCCATCTATGGCACATTCGCCAGAAAACTTGGAAGCTCTGGCTGCCTGGGAGCAGCACTTAGGTCATCCTCAGGGCTTATGAGGCTGTGGAGTTGGCAACCCCTCCTTGCCGACCTAGCCTTAGTGGCCAGTAGACGTTGTCTCTGCTCCCTGTTCCAAGCCCATGACTCTGTTGATCTCTTATTCTTTATTTTTATCCTAAGAAGTTTCTGTAGTTCTTTGCTTGTTTTAGAGTTGAGATGATTGGCTTGTTCTGAGCCCAGTGAACCCTCAAAACTTTGCAGACCAGGTTAACCAGATTTGCACTTCTCCCGGTAGGTATTTGCAATAACCATTGTTAACATTAATAACCAGTGGGTACTGTGAACTTATCATGCACCTTGATCTGTGTGCTAAGTGCTTCTGGTGTATTATGTTATCTCACTGCACTGTAGCACTTTGGAAATAGTATCACTCCCCCAAGAGAAGAGTGAGACTCAGAGAGATTAAATATCTTGCTCAAGGATATAGAATTAAAATCAAATCCAAGCCAGAAGTAGAACCAAAAACGTAAACCAAGACTCTCATCTTTGAGTGCCCATTGAACTTCATGGGACCCTGCTGGCAGGTGCCTGCCAAATCAAGGAAACACTGAAAAATCTGGCTCCCACAGTTCAATACTATGGGGGTATCCTCAGCTTCTTTGAACTGTAGCAGGGAAGACATGGGTTGTCCTTTCACATACCTATGTCTAAACTACTTTCAATCATTTTGCCATCATTAGCTTGAGTACAGATGGAATTTTCTGGGATAAAAAGTTGTCCTGGGCATATTATTTCTGATAATTCTCATGTTTGTCCTATAGTTCCATCTTGAATGCTGTTTATTTGCTGGTTACAAAAAATAATTGCCTAAAAGTGAGAATTCAAGCCTTCAAAGAGTTATGGCTTGATTTTTTGCTGGGAAGGGATATATTAT